CACCTCAAATTGAGTGGCTAAGAATTTTTTTAGTCTCTGCATTTCAGCCTCCCAATCTCCTGTGATCACTATGTCATCCACATACACAATAAGAGTTGTAGTTTTCCCTTCACCTCTTTTCACAAATAGAGTGTGATCTGGTTGGCATTGTTTGAACCCCATCTGTTGAACTGCTAAATGGAACTTACTAAACCAAGTCCGAGRTGATTGTTTCAACCCATATAAAGATTTTTTTAACCTGCACACCTTTTGTTCACTGCCTTTGGCACAGAAACCTAGAGGTTGGCTCATGTATACTTCCTCTTCAAAGTCACCACTCAAGAAAGCATTTTTTATGTCCAATTTGTGAAGTTCCCAATCAAGATTTAATGCCAATGAAAGAAGGATCCTGATAGAGTTCATCTTGGTTACTGGAGCAAAAGTCTCTGCATAGTCCACTCCATATACCTGTGTAAAACCTCTTGCTACCAGTCTAGCCTTGTACCTTCCAACAGTTCCATCAACCTTGTGCTTCACTATGAACACCCACTTGCAACCCACTGGTTCCTTCCCTTCAGGAAGGTCCACCAACTCCCAAGTGCCATTTTTGTGTAATGCATCAATTTCTTCCTGCATTGCATCTGTCCATTCAGGTTTAGATAAAGCTTCTGCCACATTCTTAGGAACGGGGACACTGTCCACAGAAGAGAGGAATGCACGGAATGAAGGTGAAACRTGATCATAGGACACAAAATTAGAGATAGGATGATTAGTGGTACAAGATCTAACACCCTTTCTCTTAGCAATAGGAATATCAAGATCATTGATGGCAGGTGAATCAACATTGAGAGGAACAGGCATATCAATAGAAGCAAGTGTACCTGGCTGATGAGACGGATCTGCCTCTAGTGAATCCGATGATGTTGGTTGCATAGTGTCAAGTACCATGGCTCTTGAACTCTAGTGGCTTTTATGGCGACGATGAAAAACCCGAAATGGAGGAGGATCAGGTAAAGGAGGTTGTTGAGTTTGAGCCGCCTGTTTCTCCTCAACCCTACTCTCCCCCTGA